CTGTCGGGTCCCATTTGAAATAGTGAACCATTCAGAACATAAGTCCCGGCCCACTATTCTAGCCGTGGGATTCGAATATATTGCAACTACAGCATCCAAAAACCAACCCTCAAATCCAAATTGTTCCATTGTGGTCCGAAGGAACTCCCATCCGACCCTGTCGAAGGCTTTTTCCGCATCTACCGACAGGGTCAGAAGAGGAGTTCCCTCTGACCGAGCCCAGTCCAGAGTATCAAGTACTCTGCGGGTGTTATTACAAGATTGCCTACCCATCATAAATCCTATCTGATCTGGATGAATCAGTGTCGGTAAGATTACTTTTAGTCTTTCGGACAAAATGGCCGCATATATTTTCACATCCACATTAACCAATGAAATAGGTTGGTAGTTAGTTACATCAGTAGAAAGCTTGCCTTGCTTCAATATTGGGGTATTATGTGCCCTTAATAAGTCATAAGAGGCTTGCCCCTTATTTGCTAACTCAGTAAATGTATCAATCAATAAGGGTATTAACTCTTTTTTAAAGACTTTATAAAATAAATTGGAATATCCATCAGGACCTGGTGCCTTACTACTCTTCAGTCTGCTTATTGCCACATCTACTTCCTTAGTCGTAATAGTTTTATTTAAATATTCTCTTTGGGGGGGTCGAGATTTTTTTCAAATTATAATTTTTTAAATAATCCTCAATCGTAACTCTCTCCGGTGTTGCATTTAGATTGTATAAATTCTCATACAAAGATCTCAATTTATTAGCTATATCTTCCGGTTTATAGATATTATTATCTCCCTCTCTTAATTTAAATATCTTACGATCTATATCTCGTTTCTTTAGTTTATTCGTTAAGATTGAGTCCGCTTTGTTTCCTTTATAGTAGTATCTAGTATTAAGTTTCTTTAAATTAATTTCTATTCTAATCCTAGTCTGTTTATTAATCTCTTCCTGACAGTTCTTAATGGCAAGAGCCCTATCCTCCGTATAACTGAGTTTATTAGCTTTATACAGATTATAAAATTTAATATAAAGAGCTGCTAAATCACTTTCCCTACTTAGTTTCTGTTGACTTGCAAGTTGAATCCAATAGCCTCTAGTTACCGCTATAAATGCGCACCACAGGCATTCCTTGGATATTTCGTCAGATGAATTTTCTAAATGAAACAAATAGTTTCATTAATCTCTCTATATATTCAATATTAGTTTTATTTTTTAATAGATAGCCAGCAAGTCTCCAACTTGGGAGTATTCTATTTTGTCTATCCATCACTTCAGTTATAACCATGTCATGATCAGACCAAGTATTTTCTACTATATTAATAGTTAGAATTGCTCTTGAAAAACTCAATTTACCCAAGAACATATCTATTCTAGCAGAAGAATTATGAGGGATAGATTTATGTGTATAGTTCTTATCATTAGGGTGTGCTAATCTCCAGCAATCAAACAAGTCTGCCTTCTTAATGGCTCTATTGAAAGCTGCAGCCTGTTTCTTTAAGACTTTATCTACTTGTTGATGAATTGCTAGTTGTTTATCCATTTGAGTATCTAAGATCAACCTCTTGCAGACACCTTACAGTGTCCCATACCCCCCTCTCTGGGCTGGCAGGAGTTATCTCGGTCCCCACTGCAGTATCCCCTATTGCAGTATCTCGGAACGCATCTCTAAACACAAGATGGCGGAGGCACTTCTTCATCAAGGGCATGCTCTGACTCTGAATATCCAGATCCAATGTGACCCTATTGAGAGATCTATGCGAAGATTGGAAGCTATATTACAAAATTTCTATGCTACACAGGAAGCACAAGTAGTACCCTCTCGGCTAAGCTTGTGATCCGGAGATCAAAGGAACGAGACGCAGAGTGAAGGAAGGCCCCCCTCAGGTGCTACTAGACCGCGAGCAATAATTCCTAAACCACCTGGGTTGAAGGCCACCAAGGGCTTACCCTCCTTGCATAGACCACAAAAGCGGAGAATTCACTGTAGAAAACAGTGACAGACCACATTGATTGTCTGCTATCCCCTAGTTACGAAGGACTGGGACTTTCCAAGTTTCCAAATCTGTGGTTTAGTGATGCAAGCCTCTCTAAAGGCCTGGGGCTACTGCTTCGACGATACCATTAAAGATTCATTGGTTTCTACCTTGCATATCCTGAGTTTGGGAATTGGGTGATCTGGGACTCTCTAAAGCATGCAGCCCTACTATGTAATTTATATGCTTTGCTAAGTTATATGTAAGCCACCATCTCCCATTTTATATTCAACTGCATACTTAAAATGTGATCTTTCTTGTCTTTTATTTTCAAACTAATTTTCCACTTATGTTGCGTTTGATGGGGCATTGTGATAATGATTTCAGATTTACCTTCCTGAGTAACAAATTAGCATGTGTCACATCATTATTACTTTATTAGATATCTTCATGTCTGGAAAGGTTTATTTACTAGTAAGCCAGTACTTCAGTGTCTATCTAGACATACACAAAAACAAAGAAAAGGCTGTGCCAAGAGGAATAAATTAATATTATACAAATAAAATTATAATATGTGATTACAGAATGTAATATAAAAGAGTCCCAATTATAGATGTTGTCTCAACTGGTGTAGTGTCTTCTCTGTTAGGAGTCGTCCCTCTCACAATATGAAAGACACAATGGGAAAGAACCAGTCGTGCAGAGTGTATAGATAAGTAATCGTGAAATTAAAATATAAATTCCACACTCACATTTCCATGAGCTAAGACCAGCTCTAGTATGATGGGCATACAGCGGATAACCCTCCGCTTGCAGGGGTGCTTGTCCTCCTGGAGAGTGCTGGTGTCCAATTCTCAAAGGAAAAGAAATAAAAACAGCCAATAGTGCTCTCTGGTGAGGTAGTTAGCAAAAGAGCCTTTCTGCACTCTATTACTCGCGTGGGTGGTATGATCCCCACCTTAGGATATGCCAGGAACAGTAAATAAGGATAAAATAATATAAAAGGGTAATATATGTAAAATGATTTATTAATACAATATATTAAATGGCTTTATCAAATTGGAACAGTATTGGTACCTGGCACATAAGGAGTATATATAGCTTATACATACATTCAAAATTGGCGCCAAAAAACGATCACCAATCAGGGCTGTACAAAATGTAAATAGAAAATACACTAAACAAAAGATAAAAAATAATATACAACATTAATATATTGAGACATACAATGGTATTTGTGTAAATATAATATAAAAACGAAGGTTGTTTAATATAAAATTTATATAAACTTAAAATAAGTGATTCATGCGTGTCACGTGACCCGCAGTGCACTCTGGGGGCTGTAGTGCCCGGGCCACGTGACCGCATGTTATTTGCCGATATACATGCTTACCTAGCCTGACTACTATATCTTATCAAATGTGAATGCTTTCTCTAAACATCACACCATACAAAGCTTTGTATTTTTACTTGTTTGTAGTTCGCTGTTGGGCATAACAAGCCTGAATGTATCTCTATGCAATGCAAAAAATAAATAAATTAAAAAAAATAAAAGGAAGTGTCACTAGCTGCCTCACATTTTATCACCTTTTTCTTACTTACAGTGAGCCAAAGCTAGCCATCACTGTGGTATGTTGTGTACACTCACACCCTACGTACGCACCCACATGCACGTTACTTTGAACATTTTAATAAGTGAAAAAAATCTCAAAAAGGAAACATCTGTATAACATGGCTCAACGACTGTGAATTATGTGTTTTGTGTTCCTAAAAAGATTAACTGGCCATTACAATCAAAAGCAAGAATAATTGTCTATACACTCACATTTTCCATTTACGACAAGCTAAAGTCATCCCTAGTCCTTTGATTTCCTTTCTGGCTCTGTAATTCTACTTTCACTCCAACAATGTATTTTCACAGCCCTAATAATGACCTTTCCCCCCATTTCCAGCCCTGGCAAGCAGAGTGTAGATGTGTCTTTAGAGTTATGGACTAAAGTGGGGATAGATTTGAATTGTTTTACTGCCAGTTGGTAAAAGTATTGAAATTGTTGGATACGTTTTCCACATGAGTTCATATTTTTGGCTAAACTGCTAACATAAAAATATTTTTCATAATACGAATTAATTTTACAAGTTTATCCATAAATATTAAATCAACTAAAAAGCTTATCAAATAATATTAAAGTAAGTCCTTAGTTAGGGACATCTGTCAAAGAATTACAGGTTTTAGATGTGATCTAACTACTACAGAAGTGGCAGAAATTATCCTGAATTTGCCAAAACATCGGTATCCCAATGAGCAATACCCACCTTCTAAATGCTTCTGTTTAAGTCTGTCTCCACTATTTGCATGAGCAATGCTCTCAGTAAGTATGAATACATTGCTGCAAGATGGAGGGTTGCTTCCAGGTGATGGCTAGCTTCCCAGGTGGAAGCACCACATTTTCCCAACGAGATGATCCAGAGTGGGGAGTCTGCAAATGGCTGATGGTAAGGGGCAGACGACTCAAGCTCTTGACACGTGTGAAGTTATCTATCTGTTGGCAATTCACCCCAACAGCTGACAGGTTTAATGTATTTCCGGTTAATAATTTTTTAATAAAGCTGTGGCCACCCCCTTATCCACAGGTTGGGGATTGTGCTGTATTCATTCTCCCCCCTCTGTTTTTGTTTGGGGAATCCTAGAACAAAGTGTCAGGCAGTGTGCATGCACACTCATACAACAATTCCAGAAAAGTAATGGAGGCAGTCTTGAATAGACTGAGTTTGCTCAGGCTGTCCAAATGCTTGTACAACTCATTGGCAAGCCATGCTTCACCATGTGACATCAGTATATTAGGGGTAGGTACTAAGAAACCGATATTAAAAAGAAGCTATTATACCAGATATTAACTTTAAAAGCTTCAAGATATGTACCTTAAAAATATGTTGTTCTTGGGGGGCGGAGCCTAACTGCCAAGCTGGAAGGACACCGCACTGAGTAAGCAGACCACCTCTGCACGAGCACCCCTGGCAATCTTAAGCCCTAAATGCGGACGCAGAGTGGCAACTACAACCGGCTCCCCAAAGAGACACAGGCGCCGGGACCAGTGGCACAGGCGGAAACGAAGCACCGGCTCCCTGACCAGCATACCCCAACACTTCAAGCCGCCACAACACCGGACGGGATCGGAGGTACCCTGCATAATGGTGAAAACACCGTGCCCCCCTTTACATATACCTCTCCAGACAGATGTTGGACGCCGGGCTCCTGTTTGCCCAAATGTCAAGGGGACAGGGGCTTCCAGAGGCAATACACGGCGCTCAGAGGGAATCAGCTAAACATGACTGGGAGACCGGAGTCAGTCGGGCACTCTCCGTCAGAATTGGACTCCCCCAACATGCTTTTTCCCACATGAACAGCCCCCTGAATACCGGCAAAACGTACAGCAAAAACCATCAACCTGCCAGAAGTTCATATCTGTTAAGATACTTCAAACATGCAACTAAATGCTACAACATGTTAATCACACATATATTAGCTAAAACATGCTATGCTTAGTCAGTCAGATGTTGATTACTTTTCAATGTTTTTACTAAGCCCAGTCAGGGTAGCAGGATCTTTAAATGACTCATACCATAGTTAGCGATGTTACATTTTTTCATGTGTCCCAGATCAATTAGATAAGCCAGCGACTAGATTGAATGCTCTATAAAGTATATAATGCATTGTGCCGCCAAGGCCCCGTTAGATCTGCTCAGCTAACCTAGAACCACAGTTTAATTGTATACTCAGCGTAAAGTTTAAACATGGACAATCTTGACATAAATAAATAAAAATGTGCACGGATTTATGAAAAACCCACTGATAAAAATGTTGATAATCAGCGTGAGGAATGCTATTGGGGAACCACACGCCTGCTGTTAAGAATTTTGTACTGCAAAAATAAATTTAAAAAAAATGTTGTTCTTGTTGTATGGACTAGTGATAAGTGTGTGTTTAAAAAAAAACCTGTGGTTTCCATCTTGCCCTTTTTATTGACGGCTTGAGATGCCGCTGATACAATGTTATGTTATGCTTATGGTTTTGAACAGGGCATTACATCTCATTGGGGCCAGCTACATTTCATTGGGGCCAGCACCCAACCATCTTTAAATGTCACCAGCCACCACTGACGTACACATCACATGCACAACGTGGACAAAAAAATAATTAACAGCCTGTAAGTGAGAGGTCCGGCTGCCTGATTGACAGCTAATAGGGGAAGGCTTAGAGCTGCAGCAAAACTTATAAATCAATGCACTATTAATACAATAATACTCTTAAACTAAGAGCTATAAAGCTAAATTCAGCAGTACAATGTGCTGTAAGCAGGAAAATAAAAGTTACTAAGGAAAAAAATTAATGTGCGGCTTGTGTGTGAATGGTTTCTGACCACACACAATAAAGGCCTCCTCCACTTGTTTGCACCCAATGTAACTTTGTCGGTAACAAAGACAACTCCCAATTTCCGCTCTCTGACCTGCACCTGCATAAGTTTTACCACATCCTTTATACACCAAACCACTCGAAGTGAATTTGCAGTCATCTACAAACCTTAGAATTCTACTCCACATTTAACATCCCTGCTGTCACCCACAGACTCACTTTCTTGCCCTCTGCTAGAACACTTTAGTAACTTGTAAAAAGTCTCTCTTGCAGTTTCATGCTGCTGCACTTTGCCTTGCCTCGTTGAGTGATTATAGATAATTTAATGCCATTAAGAACTCATACTACACTTTTTTTGACAATCTCTTTTTATTTTATTTATATCATTAAGAGTAGTACAAAAAAATAAAATACTGATAAAACAATGATATGAATGCTTGTTCAAACATACTACACTTCTTAAGCAATCCAAGTAGATTTGCTTCTTATCATAATTTCAACTTTCAGCCCTGCAAATTGAAATGTACCCTGTCTGTTTTAGTCTCAGGCCACCACTCATAACATAGCTAAACACCTTAGATGGTTATTCAATAAAGTGTAAATTCTCAGGAATGCAAAGGGAATTTAAAGCTCTAGTCCAAAATAAGCAAAACCGTAAAGATATTCTTATGTCACCTATGTTTTCATTCTGGATATTTTGCCAAAAATTAAAATTTCGTTTCAATTTAACTTTGAATTCCTGATATGTCATACTTTACCCTAATATCCTGGTATATCATCCTTTACGCATTAATCCTACTTGCTGGAATTTTCTCTTTCTCATTGTGCCGAGATTTATATCATACAATACACAAGATCCAGCGCACTCACTCATCCACTAAACAGCAACTTCAATGTTGACAGATTTTAAAAGTAGTTTAAAAAAAAAAAAAACATCTAATCTAGGCAAAAATAATGTGGGTTTAGTTACATTATATGATCATATATTGCATAAGCCTGCCACAACGTCAATGTACCCCATTCTTGGAAGGTCCTACTCTAACAGCCTAATGTCTGCTCTTATGAGATTAATTCACTTACTTGGGGAAAAAATTCCATCTGGGGTTCTCTGCAGTACAAGGTTAAGTAGGGCCCTGGAATGAGGCACCTGTGACAGGGAGGGGTGCAAAACAAAGGAGTTGGCCTGGACTCCCAAATATATATGAAAACAGCAGGCTGCACTCACCTGAACACGAAAGAATGGGTTGCTGCTGGGGCCAGTTTATACAATACACAAGATCCAGTGCACTCACTTATCCACTAAACAGCAACTTCAAAGCTTATAGATTTTATACGTTTTTTTTTTTTTAAACTAATCTAGAAAAAAAATCATAACAATATTTTAATTAAAAATGAAGTCAGGCATCATTATGGCAATTGGGCTATTATAATATGCTTAATGAATACATCTAAGTTTGTAAGGTTGGCAGTCATTTTTACATTTGAAAATGATGCAGCTGATTCCACTTATCAAATAAAATTGCCATTTTCTTTTTTATGTATGACCTTGTAATTTTCTCATTCTATGTTTATTTTCCAAGGTGTGTGCCAGCAAATGTAACAATTTCTGTTCATTTGAGGATGTTCCTTTTATTATTTGTTTATTTTATTAAATTCCAGGCAATGAGCATCACGGAATGATCATTTTTTATTTCAGATAAACCAAGATCACTATGGTTCCTAAAAAGGGTTCAAAATCCTTGCCTGGAAATTATAGACCTGTGAGCTTTACTTCTGTGGCTGGGAAAGTATTTGAAAGGTTATTAAGGGATAAAATTCAGAAATTTATTGAGAGGAACATGGTTATCAGCAAAAATGTTATGAAAACATAGGTCATGTCAAAATAACCTAATTGCATTTTACGAAGACATCGAAGTAGAAGTATAGATCAGGGTGTTGCAGTGGATGTAATCTAGGGATGTGCATGGGAAAAAATATTCGGTTCGTTCAGCATTCCGAAATTCGGGACTTCGGCACTTCGGTTCGGCACTTTGGAACTTCAGCACTTTCGGAACTTCTGAACTCCGGCACTCCTGAACTTCGACACTCCGACACTTCGGCACTTCGGACATTCTGAAGCATCCGAATGTTCAAATTTCCAAAATTCGTCCGAATTTGCATTCGGAATGAAATGAATTACACATGTCTAATGTGATCTACTTGGATTTTGCCAAGGCATTTGACACAGTTCCAGACAATAGATTAGTATTCAAACTCAAAGAAATTTGTCTAGATGAAAATTCTTGTTCTTGGGTTAACATTTGCTTAAAAATAGAGTGCAGAGAGTTGTCATTAATGGTAAATTTTCCAGCTGCACAAAAGTGGTAAGTAGTATCCCTCATGGTTCTGTTCTGGGACCACATCTATTTAACATATTTATAATTGATCTTGAAATAACCATTAAAAGTCATGTTTCAGTGTTTGCAGATGACACAAAACTTTGTAACGTAATACAATGTGAGCAAGATATAATTTTGCTGCAAAGTGATTTAGATAGATTGGGGGACTGGGCACTCAAATGGCAGATGAAATTTACTGTAGAAAAATGCAAAGTTATGCATGTGGCGAAACCGACCTCGCCACTTGGCATTGGAGAAGACTGATTGCCAGCCTCCTGCCATGTGACTATGGCCCCTGGGATATATTGCCCTTTAAATACATTATTTGGGCTTATTGGATTTTGAAACACTTTTTCTGTCCCTTTGAATACATGAAAAGGTGTGCCTCTCCCCCGTTTCCTGTCTATTGTTCTCCAGCAGGGCGTTGTCCCAGGGACACTGCCAGACCAGTTGGAACTTGTTGCTATGGTTTAACCCCATGGCAATTTGACTGTGGCATATAGAGAGCGCTGTTCGGATATAGTGAGCGCTCAGATCCAAGCTATCTGGGGATAGGTTGAATGTGGGGGTTCTGTTAAGTATAATAGGAATGATGTATTTTTATGTGTTTTTACTGCTGTGAATAGAGCTATTTTCTGTATGCTGGAGGTAATTGGCTTACCACACCCAAGCCATGCTTGCAGGCAGTCACAAAGGGATTTCCAACTAACGTTTGACCCACTGGACCAATTTGTATGATTTTGACATACATTTGTATGTTTTATGTGAATGTGATGTATACTTTTAGAGTTATGAATATTGTGTAAAACTGTGTATTTTCCTGCCTGTGATAATTACATTAGACCATTGTGTTCAGTAATTATATCACAGGCAGAGGGGAGGATTTTGTGTGGGAGTGTCTGAGTGTATTGTACGTTTAGATTGGTTGTTCTACATAGTACTGTGGGCAGTACTAGGTTTGTAAAATGTGCATAAAAGCAGAGTGATTAAAAGCTTCAGTTCTACTTCACCCTCAATTTGCAGTGCCGTCTCTTATTGGGGGAATCTGCTACAAGGGATTGCTATGCTTGTCATACTCCCTTGCTAAATCACTACTAAGCTCTTGTAAGAGCTTGTTCCTGCCTTGCTCTCTGGAGGAGTCTACGGTGGTTATGGTGTCTGCTGCAGTGCTTGGAGTCCTCAGGAAGCACTAGGAGCATCCATCAACGGAGGTACCCAGTTGGGGTGCCCGTCGATCCGTTACAATGCACATTGGGGTAAAGAATGCACAAGCAACTTATACCATAAATGGTAGTGAATTAGGGATAACAACAAATGAGAAGGATTTGGGAATTGTTATAGATAACAAACTAGGCAACAATGTGCAATGTCAATAAACAGTGGCTAAAGCCAGTAAGGTATTGGCATGTATAAAAAGGGGCATTAATTCTCGGGATGAGAACATCATTTTGCCTCTTTATAAATCACATCTTGAATATGCTGTGCAATTTTGGGCACCTGTTCTAAAGAAGGATATTATGGTACTAGAAAAAGCTCAGAGGCGGGCTACATAATTCATTAAGGAATGGAAAATTTTAACTATGAAGAAAGGTTAACAAATTTAAACCTCTTT